GACTTGTTTTGTTGGGAGGTGGAGGGGACTGAAGCAGACGACTCTTTTGCTTGTCTAGAATCTAGAAACGTCTACACTTGTTTTGACCGCTCCCTGAAGTCTACAGTAATAGTATCTACTTTTCTCTAGAAGCTTCTAGAAGCTGCATCTTCTGATTTCTCTAGACACCCTAGGCCTACTTTTCAGTGTACATCTCTACTTTTTCTATTACAGTACACATTCTCATCTACATATCACTTTCCTGCAATTCTCTACTGTACTTGTTTGTGGCTCTATACTCATTCTGTTCTTTTCCCCTTCTCCTTTCACTTCCCCGTTCCTGCTCCTTTTCGATGTCCCTTCCGCTTTCCTCTCTTCCTTTGGGTGGTCAAGGTGCTGTCTCGTGCCTTCACAGTTTCTTTTTAGTATGTCCCTCTTCTTTTTCCTCGTCTACTTCCCCTGAATTCTTCTTGTTCAGCCGCGCTCCTGACAAAGATCTAAGACTGTCCCAAATCATTTTCCATTGTCCTTGTGTTTTCCTTGTTCCACTCCGTCCCCACGAAACAGATCTCAAAGCCTCTCCCAAGATCGGGCGCCGGGCGGGCGATGGACAGGTGAAAGATCAGTGGGTGGTACATCGGGAAATCATCCGGGACTTGGGTCTTGGAACATGCTAGAAGCCCACCTATTGATGCTCCGCTCCCCTATAAGCGTTCTACTCCTGACTGAGTTTCTGCAAAGGGGAGTTGGCACGGCCCGCTTTTGCTTGGGGGGTTTACCCAGTGGCGTTGAACGGCGGACTCTGGTGAACATGCAGCGCAGCTGTAGGTACTTTTGGAATTATGATAATACTAGTGGTGATACTGGAACTAATTATATAGTTTATATATAACTAGTGACTAATTGGTAGCATTAAGTTTATGACTAAAAGATGCTAAACGTAAAACCTATTCGGATCAGAAGTTGACGTCCCAAATGCTTGGGATCCTAGGGCAGTACTTCTGACTTTTTCATTGAAGTGTTGTATAAGCTCTTGTTGGATCAGTCCTGTCTTTACACCCTCTCGTGTGGCCAGAAGCCTAGCATTGGTTGCACGGCAGAACAGACGAACTCCGTACCATGACGGCCACTATTGACAGGTGTCGCCTCATAATCGCGTGATTTTGGGCTGGCCACAAGCAGAGATCAAGCAGGCCGGATCAACATTGTTCTTCATTGTCCTGTGCTACGCACATTGTATTGCCCTCTCCAATTCAGAGTACCATGGTGCCTGGCCCGCGTTTACTGCCAGGAAGGGATGATTCAGAAAGCGGAGGACAAGCTGCGGCGGGCCTATGTCACTGGGAATGCATTCATGGACTGGTTCGTTGTGATGCGAACACCACGGTGCGTGGTGCTGTGGTTCATACGCTGACCCGCTGACCTTGCTTTTAAGGGACATACGGGAAGAGCCCGTGCTGGGTCGATTGGCTTCAATGGGTCCAATTGGCTTCTTTCCATGAGAAAATGAGTTCGCGTGACACCCCGTGATGCAAGCTCAGGAGCGATCCCACCATGCTGGCTCGGCGGATGGACGCCGCTGGGACTGATGTGGGTACGCTGGACATTTGTGATGGGCAACACTTGGTTTTGAAGAAGCACTGCCCGTTTCCCATATGACCAACCTGCAAACCCACCCCTAAACATTCTAACTTTCTTAAAAAGCCAACAACGACGGATCAACCAGCAAAGCATTACATGACAATCTTACTACATTGAATGCTTGAAACCAACCACAATTGTGACAATAATGAGACATCAACACTGACCAAGTCTCCAAACAAGACCAAGCCAGCGGAAAGAAGAATAGAGACCAGTCACCAAATTGGTTGAGAATCTATTCAACAAAAACACTAAGCAATTTCGTATCAAATGCTTTTGGCAATCTCAAGATGAGCTATTCTGGGTGAGGAGACTTGCAGCGTGAGGCATCTCACGGTAGCCAAGGTGCTGCTGGACTGTGGTCCGGCGCGGCACCTGCAGGGGATGAATTGGAGACGAAGCAGGAGGCTGTGTGCGGCCACTCAGAGCACTGTGGAAGCCCGAGGCATTCACTTGGATGGACTTTTCAGGAGCTTGTTCTCAAAGCAACCAAAACAAGCCTGAGAGTTCCCGTCGTTGAGATTGCTTTCTTTGGGAGGTTGGCTGCACACCGTCATTTGGAACAGGATGATGGTGGAGGATTCTTGTGATCATTTCCTATTGGGGCTTTAGGCATTTTCTGATCTGCGTTGGGCGCTGGATTGGACACATTTATACCACCTACGTCTATTCTATTGTACAGTGTATACAATTTTATACTGAAGATATTACAGACATTCTTGCTTGTGCGCACCTTCCTGCTGGCGCACACTTGCTGCACTGAACACGGTGACCGAGGCGGGAACTGCTGGTTCCGGTCACGGGCGAGGCCATCTGGGAGCAGCTGGTGTGGAAGCCCAGCTGTGGGCGGACTCCGACCAACGATGGATTGCCCTCCCAACAAAAGGACCAACTCATCAATGCAACACTATTTAGACAGAGCTCAAACCGTGACCTCCAGGCCTCCAAGAAGGAAGTATAGTCACAGACAACTCCCATGTCATGAGGAAAGAGTAAAATTACGTAAAAGTGCCAAAAGCTACGTGTCCTAAGTCATGAAGCAAAACTAGCAAGACCAGGACTTAAGACACCCTCTTGAGGATTTCTGGAATGGTCGAAATCAAGGACCAAAAATATTATGCTGATATCATTTTTGCCGGCAGCTCCTAAGTCATATCGCTTTTCATTACACTCAGGTAGATTTCCCATTGTTTCTGCTCCATGATGACTTGGAAAAACCCACCTGGCAACTACTAATGTCATTGGACCTAACAAGTCCTAAGTCATTCCTCCCCAGTATAATTCAATACTATTCCAGGACTTCTGAATAAATTTCGGAGTTCCTCCTTGTTGATCTCAAAGCCCGGAAGCTCTTCGTAGAAGAGGTTCGAAGGGACTTGCAAGTGTTTGGACTCTTCGTCCAGATGCGGCTCATCAATGGGCAGCCAATTGATGTGGTCGCTGGCAGGAGATCCGCGCGTCGCCCCGGCGGCATTTCCGCGCCAGGTGCCGAAGGGTGGGGGGGGCGACGCGGGAAGTCAGCCAAAACCCGAAGCAGTGGAAGTACGAAGAGGAATCCAAGTTTGAACTTGCTTGAGGGAGAGGCAGCTTCTCAGGTTTCTAAGTCGTACCATTTGCCCTTGAATTTACCATGTCTTCCGAAACTTGATGGCCAGTGTGGCCACAAAGGCCAAATCCGGTGCCTGACCTGAATGAAGAGTCAAAGGGTCGAGTCGAGTCTTCTGGCTTCAGGACGGTCATCGCAGCTCCTTGGCAGAGCTTGGATTTGCTGGTGCTGGATGGTGGCGGTGGAGTCCGAAAATGTTACTTCAAGATACTGCATGTTCTTTGGAAGTTGAACGTGGTTCGGTTTTGGATTTGGGATGGGTTCAAGTTTCAACATGTTTCAACTTGACTCTCTGACTCTCACCCTGTTGATGTGCATCGTGAGGTTGGTGCCAAAGGTGGGCCATCGCCCGATGACAGTGGCGGCCTGTTCAGGTGCGTTCAGTCGAGCATAGCGATGGCTGCCAAACACCAAGTGTGGACGTGGCTGACGGGTTGAAGCGCAGTTCTCTCAACCTAAAGAGCGATGGCCTCCAAACCTAGAAGCGATGGCCTCCAACCTACGAGCGATGGCCTCCAACCTACAACAATACCCGCCTGGCCGAAATCTGATTGAATCCTTTTGACTCCCGATCGAATTGGCCAAACAACTGGATACAAATGGAGGCCATCATGGGGCCTTTGAACTCTTCTGAACTTGGACCCTCCTAATCGCAACCCTGAGCAAAACCAGCGAAGCTCGAAGCGCTCACACTGATGGACAGATTCGTGCCCGAGCCCGCTGGTGGCTTCCAGCTGCAGTCCACGATCCCTACGGAGAGGGTGACACGTGGCGGTGTGTGTTCGGTGTTCGGGTGGGTCTGCTGACACTGTTGAAGGAGCCGTTGATAAACCACCTGCTTAATTAGTACTGGTGGCACAAAATCAAGATCCTTAAAAGCATGTGAATCCTTCCCCTACCCTCAGGTCCAGATTGACTTCGTTGAGCGGTGACGGCATTCTCAACTTGAACCGTTTGTTCTCGATGCACAGGTTTGAAATGTTGAACAGAAATAACTTCTGCTGGAGAGGTCCGAGGGACACAAAAGGAACCGTGTTCGCAGGGTTGATGTATCCATGCCCCCTGCGCATCCATTTTCGGAGATGCAAGGGTGTTTGTTTCCCACTAATGAGCCTGGACTTCTTGATCTAAAGAGCAGAACTCCACTTCCATCAAATTGTCAAATGGCTGTGGGTCAAAACCAGGCTACCTAGGTTGACCAGAGAAAATGAATAGAATAATGGACTATGGACTACTAAGGAGATCAACCTACCCTGGTTTGGGGCATCCGGGTTTTGACCCACAGCCAAATTGTTTGTTTCTTTTTCTTCTTGTCTCTTCCGATAGCTTATCAGAAAATTGTCCGGCTTGTGTCAGTCCACGATGTGATCCCCAAGGCTTTTGGATCAAGTCAGCATAGCACAGTTGCACGGACCAAGCCTTCGCCATGGACGGGCCCAGCACCCTTTTGGCACTTCTAGTTTTCCTCGCGGCCGTCGGTCTTACAAGCCCTTTCTGGCCCTTGCTGGTACTTTTCAGCTTTGCTGCAATATGGTCGCTGTGTGCAACCTTTGCAGAGCTCATGAATGATCTTCTTTCATTTGCTTGGGTTGCTGTGGCGGACCAGGTCCGTAAACCTCACCCATAGAGTCACTGGGTCTGACCCATGCAGTGACGACCGCATGAACGGATGGACACGTTGTCCATGCACAGTTTAGATCATGTTCCCAGCTCTTTGCAGTGCAGAGATCACCCTTTTGCTCCAAAGTTCGGAGTGAAAGCGATCGGAAGCGTCCACACCGCGTCTCGCAGCTTCAGACTTCCGCAAAACAGGCGGAACAGGCTTTGCGGAGGTTTTGGTCGCCCCATCGAGCAACTCCATCGGTGGGACTACACACAAACTGAGATGATGACCCTCCATGACCCCAAAATGCTATGATGCAGATGCACGATAGCATTTTTTCTGCCCTGTGGCTATCGGATAGTCCCAATGCTTTGACGCCACTTCCTTCCAGGAGACTTTGCTGCCGCAAGTGGCAGCTGCTTTGCCTGTGCTGGCTGAGCTTATGACGCTGGAACGCAGGGAGGTGATAATGATAAGTAGAAGGATGCACATCCTCTGTTGAAACTGAGAACATATTTGTTAGTCCTTGAAAGCTGACTCACCTTGGACTCAGAACTCACTCAGATCTTTGCAGTCGAAGTAGCTCATAGTCATAGTAGCTCCAAGGTGGCAGAGTTGAGTTAATTACATATACGTATCAACGTTTGGATGAATTGAATCCGTTCCCAGAGAACGAGTGAAGCGGATACAAGCGGATAGAAACCACCTTTGGATGCCGACAGCGACGAGTCGACGAGGTCCCATCCGGTGCTCTCACCGGTTCGCTGTGTGAAGCTGCATGGAACCTTGGGGACCTCACAGCTGCTGTGCTGTCGGGGAGCCCTGCTTTGTGCTGCCTTTTTCGGTGGGAAAAAAGAAAGATCTGGCACCTTTTCAAGTGATTTTCTCATGGCCTGAAAGCTCGCGCCCCCCAACGAAGAGGGTTCGCGGGTTGTCATGTTCGAGAAGCCGTGGACGTCCTTGGCCGGAGATGGCATCTTTGGACACGATCTGCATAAAGAATGGAAGAAAGTAACTGGTATCCCGGAGCTGAGCTTTAGTTGCACCATTGTAACTGACCTCCTCCCAGTTCTCAAGGTCAATCACTCAATATCAACCTATATCAACCTCATAGAGGTCATATTCGGCCTCGACTGTCATGAGGTTTTCAACGAGTGGATGGCAAAGACAGTTGGATCTCCAAAACAAACATGATGCCAAGGTAGGCATGGTCCTCAAAGAGGGGAGACTACAGTTCGTTTTGGAATGTTTTGGATAGGTCTTGCTGAAGCAACCGGATCAGTTTATTCTACAGTTTGGTATCAACCGAAGTTGGATGAAGTTGGTATTTTTGGGACTTACCCACCTGGGACCTTCCTTTTGTGAACATCGCCTACACGTCTTTCCGGCTCCGTGCCTTCCAGGCTTGGTCTACGGCCCGGACACGTCCGAGTTGCCAGGTTCGGCGCCGGTGAGCCGCCGGACCGGCGCCGGACCGAGTTGCGAAGCCATGGCGCAGTGAGATTCACTCTTGGGACATCGGACATCGGACCTGGGGACTAGTAGCGTGGCACTTGTTACTACTAGCTTCTTGTTACTAGTAGTAAGGCACTTGTTCCTAGTAGCGTGGCACTTGTTACTACTAGCTTCTTGTTACTAGTAGTAAGGCACTTGTTCCTAGTAGCGTGGCACTTGTTACTACTAGCTTTCTTAAAATAATATCTTCTTGTTACTAGTAGTAAGGCACTTGTTACTAGAAGCGATGCACTTGTTCCTAGTAGCTTCTTGTTGCTTTGGGCTATTCCGAATCCTCATGGCTTTTGTATCGGTTGGTTTCCATCGTCATTGTAGACTCATGAGCCCACGATGGCTTCACCACCATGCCAGGCGCAGAAGTGTTGGAGCAGCTTCATCAAGGTGCTTCAGCATGTGGGGCAACAAGTGCAGTTCATGAATGTCTCTTATGTTAACAAGACGTAAGCATCACTCCCTCTCCTCCTCTCTCTCTCTCTCACGCTCTCTCTCTCTCTCTCGAGAGAGAGAGTGTGCGCCTGTATGTCCTTGCACCAATCTAGGGAAGCAGTCAACGACCTTTCAAAGAACATTCGAATGGTTTTTCCATGTTTTTCCCAGCTCGTTTTGAATCATGGTGCCTTCGCATGAAGTCTTGCGACGGATCCAGACTCTCGATTGCACGTCGATGCGGTCGTTGCAGCAGAGGGCTTCGGGAGCAGCTGGGTGACCTGCTGCAGACGCTGGTACTGGTGGCGTCTGTCAAGGGGCGGCAGAGGAGCTTCCCCGAAGGCCTGGCGTGAAACCAGCTCGCTGGAAGGACGGACGGACGGACATGGATTCCATTTTAGCCACTTTCTTCGGCGAGTCCGAAGAACTCGGACTCGAACCAATTGGATTTTCAGGAGTCACATGGAGGTGGGTGGTGCTCGTCCCATTCCGTCCCATCCAGTGAGTGGATGTGACAGGGGCACCCCATGGATCGCACCCCGTCGAAAGTGACTGCCGGTTGTGAGTACTCAATGCGTAATGGATGTGGTGGTGATGTCGAGGCTCTGGAGCTGGACAGTTCCAGGTCTGACAGGTCTGAGACTTTCGTTTTGTTTCGTTGCAAAAATCCGTACAATACATGACCCCACTTTTGAACCACATCCTTCATGATCCGCATGCGTCCGACTGGATCTCCCAGGTCAGGACTTTGTGGATGAAGTCCTGCGGATCTCCGGGTCGCGGGAGCTTCGATATCGGCAGCCCTTTGGACACTTGGCATGACTTGGCGCTTGGTGATTTTGAGCCTCTGTTTTTGACATTTTTTGACCATTCGGAAAGAAGAATAGCTGTGATGAGGAGGACAGTTTGGGGCCCAGGTGCTTGCAGCCGGGGTATATTAAACATATGACAATATAGTTTAAAACATGATAAAACATTCGTACGATATACACTTATATGATGTCAACATATTGTCAACAATGTCCGTATCATAGCACATTCCTGCCTTTATCGGGCCTTGCCGGATGTGCTCGATGTGCTCGTGCTCATGGGATAAGGACAGTTCTCCAATCCAAACCCGCACATTGTTGGGACCTCAGGTCTGCCATGCACTGAACCTGCCACGGCTGGGAAGACGGACTTTCAAGGAGTCGACTCCAGTGGTCCAGAGCCATTCGGCTCCGATCTGGGGCGCCATTTTTGGGGTGTGACCCCAAGACCAACAACATCCGACCTTGGAACCCGAACATACAGGCACTTTGTAGAGGCAACATCTGGTGGTACTGGTACTGTGCAAACCAATCCCTTCGATTTCAAAGGTTCGGCTCCAAAGCTCCGAGCGTTTCTCTTGGTGAGGCCATTGCCACCGCCGAGTGGATGGCCAGCATCCTTGGAGAGATCGAGGGCGGCTCCACGGAGCGGGCGGAAGCGGGAAGCAGTCGACCGGGGTGTTCACGCGTTGGACGCAGCAACATGATTCCGATATATTGAGATTGATGTTGATGGCACACAAGGGCCACTCTGGGCCACTGTGGGCCACTCTGGTGGCATTGATGCCTCATATTTGTACTTCTCATGAAAGCGCGAGGGTGAGGTTTGAAACACGGGTTCCCTGCATTTCCAATTGACTCAACCCTACCGCATTTTCTGGCCTCACGAAAAAGGTACCACCGAAACGGCGAACCGTGACATGCGAAACGACCGGGGCCGATCTGCGGAGGATCTCTTGGAGCTCTACTGTGGCTGTGGGAGTCACACCGTGGCGTTGGCGCCCTCTTTTCGCCGCGTCCTGGCGGTGGAGATCAATCGACACCTCGTGGAGGCGGCCCAGCGCCCCGGCGAAAGGATCGGGGGCCTCTAAATGAGAAGTGTCCCGCAAGTTGTAGGAAGATGCTGTTAAGTGTTTTTTTCCGAACAGTGAACAGTCTGGTACTAGGGCCACTAGTATAGGGTTTCTTACGATATCAATTAAGGCCGGGCTCTGATCGGAGGTTCTCATTGGCATGTCCAGCTAATTCGCTGCTATTCATTCACCTCGAGATCTTCGAAGTGCATTTCGACTGCACAACTTAGTGGTCACTTTTCGTGGCAGGCACAAGGGAAACCTCGTGAGTTGGGTGGTCCAAAGTCGACTTTTCGTGGCAGGTGCAGGAGATCGGAGCGGCCTTACTTTGATGTGCAGATTGCGTGGCAGGCGTACTGCTTTGTGGACCTTCAAGTGCAGATTTGGTGGCGGGCAACGGCACAGCGCTTTGTGGACCTTGAAGTGCAGACTTCGTGGCAGGCGCAGTGCTTTGTGGACCTTGAATTGAAGTAAAGATTCCATGGCAGGCGCGGCGCTTTGTGCACAGATTTTGTGGCAGGCACAGCATTTTGTCAACTTCGAAGTGTGGAGCTTGTGGCAGGTGCAGCACCTTGTGACCTTGCAAGGTGGATTTCAAGCACTTTGTAGAGCTTGAGGTTAGTTCGTGGCAGGGGCAGCGCTTTCTGAACCTTTTCGTGGAAGGCAGCGCCTTGTGAGCCTTGCAGTGCAGGTATCGTGGGAGGCGCAGCAGCTGTGCTCTCATGTGTTCTTTCACACGCGGGCTTATATGTGTGCTCCACATGTGCGCTCCCATGCGTGTGCTCTCTCATGCGCGTGCCTTTACACGTGCTTTCTTTTGTGTGCCCTTTAGACCCCTGGAGCTCTGGACCTGTAGACCACCACCACCACCACCACCACCACCACCACCACCACCATGGTGATGGTGGCGGTGATAGACTTCAGCGCTCTGAGTCAACCGTAGGTGCTAATCTTTGCCCAAGAGATGTCCGCCTCCTGAAGTTGGGTAGCCGTAGGTAACACTCATGACTGGCGTCCTTTCATCTTCTGTTATTTCCCGAAACTCTTCAGTCAAACATGATCCAAGACAAGGCCCAACGGCCCAAACGCCGAGATCTCCAGACCTTTTGTTTCTACACCTCTAGACCTTAGACGTCTAGACATGCTGTTTGGGGTCTCTTGCCGGGATAATATTTTTTGGGGGATGATGGCGGCCTGCCTAATGAACAGACGCCAAGAACTTCAGAAAAAATGTTGGACTTTGGACGGGAGAGTTTATCTAAAGCAAAGGGATGTACAGTTTGATCTTTGTCTTGTTGCAGTGATCCAACCGAAAATCCGAGGATCTTACTGTAATTGTTTGTGTCATGTTATGCCATCGTCGCGGGTGGCTGAACACCTCTAGGGTTCATGTTGGGTGTATCGATTTGGACCTCCAACATTAGGGCAATTCAGAGGATTTCTGCCACAACTACATGAGAGCCGCTTTTCGCTGGCCGGTGGAGTGCTGGTTACGTTGGGTGTATGTGTTGGCTAAGCAACCAAGGCACAACGTGGCACTGAATGGACTCAGCAATGTCACTGTCCTTAGAGCACCTTCTGAGGACGTTGAACACTTGGGCGTCGAATCCGACATGGTGCCGGTCAGAGTCTCTATTCTATTCTATGTGTACCGTAGGTGAAGCGTCCTAGTTTTGGGATGGTCCAGTTGTAGGTTTTGGACCTGTATATAATTCAGTTGTTCCTCAAGCCTTTTTACTTGAGGCTTTCACTTGGTTCTGCGTTGGTTGCCTCGACTGAAAAAAGAATCAGGACTTCTGCCGCCGTGTGCTGCGCACCCGCAGCTATGAGCTGCGGGAGGCCAATGGCACGAACAAGATGCAGCTCAACTTCCGATGCACAGTCACTGGCAGTGTCAACGGGCGCCGGGTGTCGAAGGTGTTGTGGAGATGAGCCAATGGAGTGGGGAAGGTATGGAAATCTCCATGAAATCGACATCAATATCATTGTGAGAGCTCCAAGACATGTCTTGAGCCCTGCTGAGATACATGAGCTTTGCCTCAACTTCATCCATCCTCCCCCTGACCCATCCTCCGCCGGTCCCTGCGACCGCATGGGACCTGAGGTCGTGGATCCCCCGAGAGCGGGTTTGGATCCCGTGACCCTGGAGGCGGTCTCAGGAGTGGCTGAAGCGGTGGTTTTGGGGGCCGGCTTGCCATGTCCGTGGTGGAGAAAACCGACGCATAAGAATGATAAGATGCTACGGTTCTGCTCATGGTATGACTCGTCCATGTGCAGCATTTGGCATCTCTTTTTTGAGACGATATGTCGGACAGCTGCAAGCTACTTGTTTTTGTGAGAGGATATGAGCACATCCTCTACATCTCTTGCAACCCAGTGGCCTTGAAATCCAATCTGGAGGCGCCGGGCAAAGTGAGACATGAAGTTCAATCCAACAATTGCGAAGCCCTGCCACCATTTCCTCGATGTGGTGCTGTAAGCAAGCAAAAAGGGTATTTTGTGTTTTGTCTTCATTTTTGTTCGTTCGTCCGACGCGTCGGACAACGCTTTTGCTCGCTCACGCCAGGTGCTCCTCAAGACCCACAGGCTCTGTCGGATGGTCTTGCTGGACCACTTTCCCTTCTCAGCACATGTGGAGATGGCTGTCCACCTCCAAACGATGGCATCCTGAAGGGCCTGGGTCCGCATCCGGATCGATCGATCCGGTGGGTCGTTTGTTCCGAAGGCACAGCAAGGGTTCCAAACACCAGAAGGCTGGGCCGCTGCAAATCTTGGCTATGAAGAACCTGGTGGAGAGTGGAGCTCATCCAGACTTCCTGCTGTGCGCTTTCATTGGAAATACCAGCCACTAGAACTATTGATACACGATACAATTTGAGTAGCAGAGGAGCTGCATGCGCCACTGTGCTGCGCCACACGTCGGCCCATCGCGGCCCGCCGCGATCGGCACAGAAGTGATTCATTTGATGTTTTGAGCCTGTCAGAAATCCACAGGTGACACCCAAAATGCCTGTGAAGAAGACTTGACACCCACAGGTGCTTGACACTCAGACTCACAAGACTTGGAAGCTGAGTTTTGTTTCGCAGCCCGATGCCTCTCAGAATCAATGGACATCAGGGCGATCATGCAGGTCCAGGTGGCGGAGATTCAGTGGGCGTGGCGCCAGCGGCTCTGCGTTGGCGTGTTTCACAACGTTTCATCCCTGTAGCTTGAGATGAAACACCAACAGGTCAAGGCTGATCCTTACTAGGAACCCGCTTATGTTCTTACTAGGAACTTTCTTGGCTACTCACGCTGTCAAAAAAGGAGCGGTATGGAGAAAGAATGGTCCAGAAGCATGATCTTGTGCATGTGTCACCACTTAGGGTTTCACCTCGTAAGGCTGGCCACAGCAAAAGCACACAATCACACCCACACATACTCACCCACCCTCAAAGGCAGAATCAACCTCCGGCAGTGTTGATAATGGAGTCGTGATTTCTCCACGAGGATATCCCGCAGGAGATTTGTTTGTCATGTGCTTTCATGTGTCTCGGGTGTTGGATGGTGATCTCGCTATGTCTTGGCGTCAGGGCGGTCGTGAAAAGAGGCCGGATGACTACGGCGCAGCTTGGAGCGAAGCTTGATTGCTCTTTTGTTTCTGCCTTCGCACCAAGAATTGGTTTTCACTACCAGCTTCCACCTCCAGAAGGATTTCTCAGTTGAACAATGACCGTTTCCTTGTTCTGCTCGGGCCTGACCCGTGGAATGGATGAGGAACATCCTTACAGTACTCAGTACTAGGTCCTAGGTGCATGGCACTTGTAGTTCGAGAGTGCCGAGTGACGACCAGGACCAGTTCTTCACATGCATTCATGGCACAAACTCGCTTGTTTAGCATGAATCAGTGGCACTGACACATGGGGGCAAATGCCTCGCAGGCAAGAAGATGCAAACACAGTTCCGGGAGGCTGGCCATGTTTTTTGCAGCCCGAATTTTCAGTACAGCACCCCAGGTAGAGACCATCAAGATCTCTGACGATGACGCCGCCTTCATCCTGGGGAAGGGTGGCAAAACAAAAGAAAAGCTCCTCGACTCAACCTCCTTGTGGATTCATATGAGCTTTGAATAGCTTTGATATGCTTCGATGGTGCCATGGCAGCTGAGCACATGCCAAAACAATCCAAAACACAACTCATCCCAAACGTGTGGAATGGACACCGGGCACATCCCCTCACGAGGCGCGGGTCCCTGGCATCGCCAACGCCAGGATTGCGCGCGTCTCCGGCGCCGAGATCGAGCTCTTCGAGAGAGACCTGATTTTGGAGCCTCGGATGTTCGGTGAAAGGGACGAACGGCGAAGGGACGAACTGCGATGTCTTTCTTCTTGGGATTTGCAACAGTTTCTTGCCCAATTCAGGATTCCAATTCACCCGGTCCGCTTTTGATCCCGCTCTTGGTCTCGCCTTTGTTCCCGCCGTCCTCGCGGCTCGACCTCGGTGGTGAAAAGGGTTCGGCGGAACCGTTGCTTCGCACGCGGGGACGATCGGCCCCCAGGAGATCCGCGGCTCAAAGGTCCAGCGCAGACGCGCGAAGAAGTACTGCCACTGGGGCGGACATTTAGAAGAACTGGATCACGTTGCGGAAGAACGGGGGAATGACAACGGTTTTGTAGCCATTTGTTCCAGTAAAACGTTTGTCCCAGCCACAGAATGTTCTGGAAAGAAACACCTGTGATCGTCCTGTGAGATCTCGACGTGTGGTTGCCCAAGGTGAGGGTGTCATGGCGCAGAGGACAGGCCCAGTCAACATCACTGAGGAGCCACTTGGTCCTGGTGGGTCTTGGTGGATGTTGAATCTGGATTTTCAACCGTCAGTTTTGCAACAATTCGAGAGGTTGGAATATGTCAAACGGCCATTGAGTCAGCCAGGGTCCAGGGTTTCTGTTGATTCTTGCTTGAGTCCCTTTAGAGTCCAGTCCAGCCAGTTAAAGTTCTCAGAGCTCTCCATATGGCACTCAAAAACGACAACATGTCGACTATTTGTGGCAACCCACTTTCGTCGATTCCAATGGAATGGACATGGAAAGAACCAACTTGGGAATGGCCTGTGAAGGTGCGGTGAGATCAAAAGAACACTGCATGAAGTCACTCAAAAGGACACGGCGCTCCGCTGTCTCAGCGATTTTACCATGCCTGTTTTCCTCTCAGACACACAACTTGCCGGCATGGTAACTGGCAAGCTTATATTACTATAGTTTTGTTCTAGGTGTTCTCATTTTATATCACTTGCATAATTAACATTCGAGAATTTATACTATTTATACAATTTTATTTCCAGGTTTTCAGTGCAGAAATGGTTTGTCAGTCACTGGATCAGCTCAGGTACAATGATGATGACTTGACAATGCTCATGGTGCCCCAAGAAACCGTGCCCAAGCTGAAGACCATGTTCCAGACTGACAGCGGGCTGGCGTTGGAACCTTTCGTTGAGCCAAGTATCACAATGTCACGTTTTCTGCAGTGAATTGCATACTGGTATAGTCTAAGTGCAGAAAGTGAGGACTGTAATTGCATACATGCCTGTAAGCAGAACGCGGTAAGTGGCCAACAAAGTTTGGGTGAGCCAACCAGCAAGTTGGCAGGAGCCTTGGGTTCATTGGACATGATGTTGACAGACTGTGAAGGGTTTGGGCAGCAACACAAGGAAATCAGGTCTTGCCATGTCCATTTGAGGTTCCTTCACACTCCTGATTTACTCTGGTCTCCTTTCCAAGCCGTTTGTTGTTAGTGTTGTAATCTTCACACCTTCGTCTCCGGCTCCGGTTCATTCCAGGCTCGTTCTTGTTCCAACCCACGGATTGCCAGGTGGGCTTTGTCACCGGAAGGGCTGGCAACTTCCTTCGCACCATCGAGGAAGAGCGCCTAAGTTCGTGAAGCGAAGATGAGAGTAGATGAGAGTAGTGGACAGGTGAGACAACCTGCGACAGGACCTGAAAGAACCTGTGATTCGTGTAAGTACAAGTGGGGTGGACATCAAGTGGCAAGATACGGTTTATCAACATCATGGCAAGATGATGCACCAATCCAGCAATGCATAGAGTCATGGGGTGCTATTGTCGGTGCCCTTGCCCAAGAGGTGCCTTTTCCTAAGTGCTAGTGCTAGAGCTTCAGCTATGAGAGTCAAGCACCTGCTACCGGTGACTTGTGGATACTTTTGCTCCGTCCAACACAGCACCCAACTATACTTAGCAAACAAACACATGTCACATCCAGGTGTTCGCATGAGTGTTCTCCCCTTTCTCCAAGACCTGAAACACCCGCCCAGTCCGCTCCCTGTCCGGTCCGGTGGTTTCCACGGGGCGCGGGCTTGACGTCCGCACCGAGGTGGGGGACTCTGATGTTCTTCTGCGAAGTCGGTTCCGGACGTCGTGACAAGGCGCGCCGTCTGGCTGCGTGGCTGCGTGACTCATGCGTTGGTCGAAGCGCGCAGCGGGTCGTGTTGTGAAGCGCTCTGTAAGCGCTTTGGAGCCGGTGTTGAGCGCAGTTGAGCACGGCACCTAAAGAAGAGTCTGAAGAGTTGCGAATTGGAATTGGGACTAATGTTGGGTCTTACAGTAAATATATAGATGTATATAAATAGTAAAGCCCGTCCCCCCTTCCTAGCAAACAATCAAGGGGGTACGAATCTGTAGTGGTAGTGGTAGTAGTAGTAGTAGTAGGTGTAGTAGTAGTAGTAGTAGTAGTCGTGGTGGTGGTGGTAGTATATAGTAGTAGTAGTAGTAGTAGTAGTAGTAGTAGTAGTAGTAGTAGTAGTAG